ATTTAGGCCTAGCTACTTTAAAGACAATAACTTCTCAAGTATGTCGCCAGACATTGCTTGACGGGGGTAATGATAAAAAAAACTAAAAAAAACCCCAAAAAACAAGTAACAAAAATTAGAGTAAAGGTATAATATACCAGCTGAATTACCCGGCATTACACAGGTAGAGTTGTCTTAATCGCATATATTAACCTGATGTAATATTGTAACATCCTCGCTAACGCAATAATCATTAATTATTGTCAATTTCATCATTACATTTCTTGTAAAATCTGGTTATTGTGAAGTTGTCAATATCATTAATTGTCAATTATTCCGTCATTCAATACGGGATTATTAATTTCGATGCAAAAACAAAACTGGATAGGACAAAGTTATTTTAAATTGTATATATTCAACCCATCTAGTGGGTTATGCAGCCCCCCCCCCCTCCACCATCTGGATACTGGATCCATAGGGAGTCCACGTTGTGCACTTCGCGCCTTCGACGCACGCCACCCCGGCCCCCATTCATGGTCTCTGGATCCGCCCTGGATCCCCACCCGTCATCTGAATACTGGATCCATAGGGCGCACTGCAGATCACTCCAAATGGCATTTCCGGGATTCTAGTTTTAGAAATTTTGGGAGCCCCGTTGTGCGCTTCGTGTCTTCGACGCACGCCCCCGCCCCCATTCACGGTCTCTGGATCCGCCCTTGCAACCGCTTGGTCTCCTATAGCGAACAAGCTTTATCTTCAAATTTTCTTCATTAAAGACATGTCACATGCGCGCACACCTCAATAACTTGGGTGTCTCAATTAGTGTTGACGCATGATGACGCAATATCTTTGGTCTGATTCCACCGAAAAGAGTTATAATATATTGTACTAATCTTTCATCTGTGTTATTGTTTAAAAAGCAAAGTGTTAATTGAACTTCGTAAACCTGATCTGATACTTCGTTGTCAGATACTTATTTTGTATGTTGGCTATCGGATTAAAGATTATCGATTGTGTAATGTGATGATCATTTTATGTTTTTAACACGTGCTGTGTGATCGGGGCATCAGTTATAACGCCTATACATGTCTGGCTAATATATAAACACCCTGGGTCATTCTTTATAATCCAGGGGTTCATCTCCGTTTATTAAGCCGTAAATGGTAGATCCTATTTAACTATATCCCCAGGCAGCAGATTTATTGGCTTATAAATACAACTTTGTTTATAGAGTATATCAATTTTGTCTGCGATATCATTTCATTGTGAAGTGGAAGGTTAAAGAAAGTTATATCACACACACATATCATTGACATTGTAGTAAATTTAATACATCCAATTAGGCTTTATTCAAAGCTACATGGGTCCTGATTTAATTTTCTTTCAATATCTACTGAAATCCTTATACTTCAGTCTATAGATCTATATAATAGTGAGACGCAATGAAATGAAATGGGGTTTAACTTCCTAATGTTCTGCTCCGACTGGGCTAATGAAGACGGGGAGACGCAATGAAAACGGACCAGTAATTTTTATTGCCAGGGCCGGTTGTAGAAAATGCGGGGCCCAATTTGGGAGGCCCGAAATTACAGGATATGAATACATTGTAGGATATCAGTAACTTTAACATGGTCTATATTCATTGATATTTAACGCCAACTATGCTTTACTTCACAATTAGTAATTGATTTATACATGTACAGTCAAAGTAATAATGGCAGGCCTATAAACACCAATTGCCTGGAATTTTTTTTAAGTTGGTGAGCTGCGGGGGCCATTCCATTGCGGGATCAAATGTGCCAAAAAACGGTCAGTTTATTGTGTACCAATACGAGAATCGGGGCCCTGGGACAGACCACTCGGCGAGGGTTGGGCCGGGGGTGGGGGTCGGGGGCCATTACCTTGCGGGGTCAAATGTGCCAAAAAACGGTCCCTTGGCAGTTGGAATTCGATATAAGACAAAATTTCCCTCATAGCACACTGTATGGCGTATGCCCGTCTTCATTAGCCCAGGTTAGGAGCAGAACAGTAGGACGTTAAACCCCATTTCATTTCATTTCAATTTCTATTCATGATCTAATCATGAAGTGGGTAATCGAGACAATGTTTTTTTTTTTATCGTACCGACTTTAGTACTGATGATCGAGGCTAAGCCTAAAATTCAATCGCTAAAAACTCGGTTCAGAGTGGATCAATATGACTGAAATTTTCAGCAAATTCCCTTTACATTATCTAGTTTTTAACTATTATAATCAGAACAGCCAGCTCTTTATCTAATCTCCCATAATGTATCTTTAATTAATGCATATAATGTTACAAGAAATTTGAACTCGTTTGTGATATCTGTTTAGGCTATATGACCGACTTATTTTTAATATATGAATTACGTCACCAACTGTTATGTTCAGCATGTTTCTCTTGCTGTACTATTGCACAATAACTGCACTCGTGGGTGGTGTGGCGACAGTTATCAATTTAATGGTTATCTCAAAATCTTTCGTATTATCACTGTGGTCAAAAGAGTAACACAAGGGGGTGGCGAATTCCCATCCCAGATGATTTTGTGTTTTTTTCTTTACATACAATTTTAAAGCTATAAATTGTTATATCTGAACTACCACCTTGACGTTTCCGTATCATATCGAAATGAATTCAGTTTAACGTCTTACCTGTCTGCACCAAACGGGCTGATGAAGATAAGCACTGTCGGGTGAGCTTTAACCCGCTGTCAATACACAGGGTCTCTGTTTTTCACGTCTTTATGTATGCGCTTTTGAAAAGTAAAGTCATGAATAAAAACACCGTCCTACCTGTTTTTAAGAGGGAGCTATACGCGGCCCGAAGAGTGTAAGGACGAGAAAATTTCTCGGGACTTTCCAGTGTGTTTTTCCCTTGTCAGTGGTGCTGCAAAGCATGGAAATGAGTGTCTAGTCGTTCGAGTGGGACGAAAAACCGAGGTCACGTCAACAAATTGAGTGCGTGTTAATCAGCCTTGACAGTTGGAATTCGAAATAAGAGTATACGTCGAAGCGCCGCTATCCGGACAAACTTTACCTCATAATAAAGCACGCTGTCTTCATTACCCAACTTAGTGCAGAAAAGATCCCGCGTCATGTTGGTGTGCCCATAAAAGAACCCTTGGCTGTTGGAATTCGATATTAGATAGTTGGAATTAGATATAAGAGTTGGTCGTAGTGTCGCTGTTCGTTCTTTTTCTTAAAGTCGGTACAAAAAAGTAGGACGTTAAACCTCATTTCATTTCGTATAATTATAGGGCTATATGTGTAATGGCAACAACGTCAATAAGTCTAAAATTCAGAAATATTACGGTCAAAAAACAGACGTTAATTCACTTCTATTTTTCATTTTAAAACCAATTACATGTTGGTACATATGTTTTGACCTTTCATATTTTTACTTCCTTCAAAGGTAAGAAGATTTTTCGGGGAATTTTATTTTATTGCTAGCGGATATTTCTGAGAAATCTTTTACAATTTAAAAAGAAACCTAATCTATTACCCATTAAACACATTTGTACCTGATTATTTACGTTCTAAAATCTTCGACGAGGGGTTTTAGCATTCACTCAAATCAAACTAGGTCATTTCGGGACAAACGTATTATGGCATATCTTTATTTTAATTATTCGCTTGCTCGCATAGGTTCTTATATTGTTGGGAAATATGGGGACCCTTCTAAGACCCACCCATAACGTAAGCGCACACATCCGACCTCTTGAGCCCTTTCACCTTCCGTGTTCATAAGCCAGGAGGATAGAGCATAAAAGTGGGACGTTGATCCCATTTCGTTTCATTTTATTTCATTTTTCACCAATATATGATAAACGCTTCCCTTTTGTTATATAGTCACTTCGTTTCCAAGGTGCGATTATATCGCATTTTTTCGCACACTGAATAGAGAAAGCTTTGATATGATACTATTATCACATGGATGAGGTTTGTACTATCATTACTCTAAATCTTGGCACTTTTATTTTCAACTTCATTAAAACACTAATGACCCCGGGGATATAACAGTACTCATGCCAGTGTTATATTAAAATCACACAGTTGAGCCATCGCATTTGTCGATGTTTTTATCCTTTGTCATAGTCCGAAGATCCGAACCCCAGTAGTACCTATATCAATGTATCCATTGTCATGTATCCAGTAGGCCTATATTTGTCGATGTATTCATTGCCATAGACTAAAGCTCCGAACCCGAGTACATTAAAATTTGTTAATGCATCCATTGTCATGGTCCGAAGCTCCGAATCCGAGTGCACTTGTCGATGTATCCATTGTCATGTTCCGATGATTCGAAACCCGAGTGCATATTTTTATAAACGAGCAGTAGCAGAAAGCTGATAGAAAGTCAGTCACTGTCAGTTGGCAACTTATTCAGCAAATAATGCATGGTGAACATCTCACTTTTTGTATTAATTTCTTTCAACATCTTCTCAACCCACATATTTAGGTTATATTACGTAACTTCCAACTATGACGAGTTTTGACCTACCTCAGAATAAGAACTAGGGTAGGTTCTATATAACTTATATACGGGAAACTATCTAAAATAAATTATGAAACGAAGAAGATAATACATTTGAATAAAGTCAAATATCATGATTTCTCGACATTCACGATTATCTTGCGACAACCACGTGTACTCGGACTAAATATTCTACACGTGAAACGAATAAAAAAAAAACATTGATAGGGTCTCGATTCATAGGTAACGCTTTACATTTCATTGGTCAAACATTTTCATGAATATTCAAGTATCCACCCACAAAATTTCCCGCCATCAGCCGAATAACCGCTTTATAGATTTTAAAGATATAGTTTTAATTGTTTCAGCTTTTAAATTTATAAATTTTACAAAAGTAACACAGAAAAAATTCATGCAGTCCATTTACAATTATATCGGATATGAAATTAATTCTTATCAACGGATACTGATGGGTTATTCCTCTATAGACGTATCTAACCTTGACGCAAATTACTGTTGGCGTAGTAATACGTCTGACTCTGGCCGTAAAGAGGCTTCATTTAGCTCAGCGCTGATTCCTCGATCGTGCATTGGCCTCAGCTTGACGTGAGAGTGCAAATGTCTCGGATATCTAACTGTCGTTTTATGGATACTTTTCAGATGGCTCATTGTGGGAAAAAGCCGGTAAGTCTTCGGATGTTAACTTAGAAAAAAGTGGCATGTCCAGGAAACGGAGGTCTTTTAGTCGCTAAAGCAGAAACGAAAAGAAAATGTCTGGCTTGATTTGAAGACGGGTGTGGGTGTCTCGAATATGTTTCACAACATTTTGTAATAATTTGTGGTAACAACACGTTGACAACCGCTAAAATGAGTATATGTGTACATTTGCAAGGCTATCGCGTAAGAATTTTGTCAACACGATGTATTTAGTAGCCAAATTATTCAACGTCTTTCTTCGTATTCAAACGGGTTTGTACAACGTGGGTTTCACGTGGCTGACCTGCATGACCTGGCAAATGTGCGACTTGTCATTTCGCGAACTTATCTTCCAGTATGAAAGTTTTTGTTACTTAGAATTGTTTTGATTTATAAAAATGTATTTATGTTGTATACGAAACAGCTTTTCTCCCCAAATCTATAAGAATTGTAGTAGGCTAAACGAAGACATATTGAGATGTACGGCTTGATAAATTATCCCGTATTAGACATCTTGTCTGGCCGGGAATGTGAGGAGGCGTGGCTTGGTGAGTTTCACGTGCTAGGAAGACTGCGCACTAGTGGGGCGTTTTATATGGATTTACATAATCGTACTACTACTACGATACAAACCATGTTTTACATCAATATTACGAATAAGATTTGATAAATATCTAAGATATTATAAATTTAATTTTATGTCGAGGCTGGTATTCAGATTTCGTCTTTTTTTCTTTGCAGAAAATGTCAAAGTATAGCTCCAAGAGTGCAGATGATTATGAACAGTTTCAACCATGCTTTCTCAATGATGATTTAGAGGAGTTTTACACGTTAAATACACCGACACCAAGTGAGGATATATGGAAGAAATTTGAACTTTTAACACCTCCTCGGTCTCCAAAGCGGGAGCCATATTCAGACTTCAATTTGGATGAAAACACAGACATTGCCAGTTTTCTGGATGATGGCATATTTGTCAACCCAATAAGTTTAGCTTTGCCATTTCCAGAGACTCCGCCATCAAATCCAAGTTTACATTCCAAATTAATACAGGATTGTATGTGGTCAGGCAGTCACAAGTCAAATGAAGACAAAGTCTCTGATACAAACATAGATGTAACATCCACATCTTCGGATTGTGTTGACCCAGCATCAGTTTTTCCATATCCAATCAATGATACAAAATTGCACAATCTTGGCACAGAAACCCCTTCGGATTCAGGTAAATATATTTAAGCAAACATGTCATTGTCACTAGTTAGATGTACAATTTACAGCATCTGGACTGAAGCTTTTAGTGAAAGTAGTATTAATTTTATTTTACATCTTCTGTTTAATCTTCTTTGTCTAAGATATGACCTATGTTTTTTCTAAACTTTTGTTTTTCTCCATTTCCAGAAGATGAAGAGGTTGATGTTGTATCCACTGGTGATGAGAAATTTGTATCACAAGCAGTTCAAGTTGATCAACAAATTACATCCCTAAAACATCAGAACTGTGGTCTACGGACTACTACTAAATGTGTTAGTGTAAAAATTGAACCTAAACCCATTGTGGTTTCTAATTCAGACTGTGCAGCAATCAGTGTTCATAACTATAGTCTTCCATATTCACACGGACTAAAACGATCGCGTTCAACACAATCACATAGTACCGTGTCTCACAAACGGATAAAACGTGAACTCACGGAGCCGATGTTAAAGTCTGTAGCACTAAAACTGAAATCCGCAAATTCATCACCCGATGTGTCAGACTCTGAAGAAAGCGGTGAGGGTAAAAGAACTCAGCATAATGTGTTAGAGAGAAAGCGCAGAAATGATTTAAAAGACAGTTTTTATGTTTTACGAGACAATGTGCCAGAATTAGACTGTAAAGAAAAAGCTCCAAAAGTGTTAATTTTACGGAAAGCCTCTGAATATATTCATTCTATCAGACGCTTAGATGTTAAATATGTGAAAGAACTAAATTCTTTACGGCAAAAGAATGACATGTTGAGAAGAAAATTGGAATCATTACAAGCTGAAGTTGATTCATCAGATGAGGAGTATTCTATAGAATGACTAACTGGTGTATTAATTGACTAACCAAGTGTACCTCGTGTAATCGTAATGTGCTATCACACTGCCAAAGTGTTCATTGACAATAATATACTGTTATTGTAACCTAATCACCTATCACCCAGACAATTTGGTTACAATTGTATAGCTCTGTTAGTTGTGATATTAACAACTAAGGAGATGTGTGACTTGTGTGGGTTTCTGTTATGAATTGTTAATTATGCATTTACAGATATATATATATATATATATATATATAAATATTGTTTAAGAAATTTTTGTATATAAACACATACAAATATATTTTAACAGGGCTAAATGAAGGCTTTTTAATTTAACCCTCGGGTGCAGGGCATTTTTTTTTTTTTGGTCAAACGTTTGATGACTAGTAAAGTCATAAACTGAAGAAACAAATTAAATCTGTTTGACACCTTGAACATTTTGTTTGTTGTTTCTTAGTAATAATATATGTATCAATTGTTGTAAATTGATATCAAACAAATAAACCCATTTTATTCATTGGTCTGTGACTGGAGAGGTCTGTCTACAAGGTTCTTGTTTCAGGATGGCGCAGAGGTGGGAAACAAAATGTATTGACAAATTTTAGCCCTTTACTAATACACTACTTTAACTTGAGTACTCACAGCACAGCCACTGTCCATAATTGTACCCTCAACATTTGTGGATTAAAATCAACAGCCCCACAGTCTGCATAGAATAATGATGTATATGTAGGCAGCCACAGACTTGTATGTATATATTTCGAAGGGTAGAGGTGTAGGCCTACCATACATCAGGACTAAAGAACTGCTAGAGAACCAGTTTTCCAGACTTGTTTCTGTAATAGTGTACTTAATCTTGGAAAAGCATTGGTTACTAAGAATTAAGTACAAGTTTACTACTTAAACAGGATTCATGTCCTGTGCATTATAATAAAGTCTTAAGGACTGGTAACTTATGTCTAAGCTTTATAATCATATTCAACTGGGGAGCCACGGTGGCTAAGTGGGTAAGACACTGACTCACTAGCCTGGAGGTTGGGTGTTCGATCCCTGCATTGGCCGAGAAAATTCATCGGGATTTTCCGACATGGTTTCCCAGTTGTCAGTGGTGCAGGACGGGGGTGGCCTGACAAAGACAGCTGTCTAGTTTGGATGGGACAGAAAACCAAGGTCTCGTGTATACATATACACTGGTGTGCACATAAAAGTTTCCCTTGTGTGGTATATGCCCGTCTTCATTAGCCCAGTCGGAGCAGAACAGTAGGATGTTGAACCCCTATTTCATTTCATATTAACTGATTAAAACACTGTAACCTGCTAACATACATCAGACTTTGACTTCGAATAAAATCAAGTTCTAGTTGTTGGCCCAGAGAGGGATCCAGGACCCACTTAGCTCGGAAGCTGTAGACTCTACTCCTGAATACATTTCCAGTAAGGTGGGTGGGAGGTGGATGGACAAATGGTTAGTGCGTGAGTTTCCACCCACAGCTAAAGACCCTAGGCCCAAGCAAGTTATAGAGATAAAATTGAACCATAAACCTTATTTTAGTTATCTCTCAATCTCTCATTTCTCTCATATTTCAAGTAAAATTGGATTGCAATTCTATCTGATTATCTTGTTGATAGTTCAGTGCCCTAATCTTGATGAAGATAGCTCATATCTGTGTAGGAAAGTCAACCCCTTTTTAACTATCAATTTTGCAAGCAAGAACGACGATACACGTACATGTAAATATAGCTAGCAATAGGCCTAAACAGTAGAAAATGAGCACATACTTGCGTCATCATTTGGTGTAAATAAAATTAAATATCAATCAGAATCCAATGCATTCCACCCTGAGCGCCACTACATCCCATGGGCATGACTAACAATAATAAATGCCGTACCGCAACCCACTGGAAAAAAAGAAGTATCACAAAAGACAAAAGATTCTATCAAGGGCTTCGAAACAAACAAAACCCCCCCCAAAACATCAAGTGTTTTGATTTTCCTCTATCAATCATTTTATGATTTCAACACCCACTTCGTCCCATGATAATTAATATAAAATAAATTGTAAATACCAGCAAAACTGATTTTTTTCCCTCCCAGAACCTTGAAAACTATGCAAACAGTCAAAACAGGCTCTAGAAGAAAAACATACGATAACAGTACGCCAATATAATTTCAACAGTCAAACAAAAACGTCTAAATAAGTCAACGTTAATGATGACAGTAAAATATAAGTAATAAAATAACCCGAATATCACACGTTTATTAAAAGGCATGAATATGATTAAAGGGTAGAACGGGTGAGCTCTTTTATTTTGAGCAAAGTTATCCCCCTTGATAAATAGGTGGCGAATATTTTCAAGATGGCAGCCCCCTGTAAAAGAATTCCCTTGATTGTCATTCTTGGAGCTACAGGCACAGGGAAGTCAAAATTGGCAATAGAAATTGGCAAAGCTTTATCCGGCGAGATAATTAGTGCGGATTCTATGCAAGTATGACCAATCTGAATTTAATAATTCTTAATATGTAACAGGCATTGTCTATGTATGTATGTAGAGCGAAGCTGATGTGAACTATTATTTAATCAACAGTCTGTGGATGACAGTTTTAGTTACACTCCTATGCTACACACGATGCTTTAGAGCTTTACTCTATATATTTTCGACTGTTACCTATGACCTATGTAAATTATATATAATTGCTGATTGCATATGAATTATGATATGATGATATATCATCCTATAGCCCACCATATATAGGCCTGCACATAGTCAATAATATTGTGACACAAGTCACTTGTCAAGTCACCACACACAGGTAACAGTAATTGCACCTTACAGGCTCGTGTCCAGAGGGAATCTCCCCCTGCTGGTGCAGAGAATATTTTTTCTCAGCTACATTCATGGGAATAACACTGTGTTAGCTCATGACCAGGCCCGTAGCCAGATGGAGGCAAGGGGTGGGGAGCAATGCCCAACCCCCCCCCAAAAAAAAGAATTTGCCGACCATAGCTCTAAAATACCTACTGTAGACTGTGCCGGGTGTGCCCCCCCCCCCCTACAAACTTCACTGCCCCTCCGAAGCTGGCTACGGGCCTGCCTATGACATGTACATGTATGCACCTAAACGAGCAGAAATATTGTGTATTGTCTCAAAGCTGATTTTATCGAATTCACAGGTACTGTAGTTCCCCCTGCCCTAACGCCAAACTTGATGTTGTCTCCACCTTGCACTCCCAGCTGCTCAAATTCCTGGACACGCCCCTGAGAACAGTTGACCCAAGTTAGAATTCTTGCTTGTGTACCTGGGATATGTGTATGTAGTGTGTTGTGTGACATATACTTGGGGACACCTAGGTTGTTCTTTCATGCATGTTGTTTAAATATACATCCGACTGAGTACTAGTCGAGCCCAATGTCGGGTGAATCCTGTCACATTTGTTTAACTATTTAACTACAGAACATTTTTGTACTCATCTGGATGCAATGCTTATTAGGAAAATTCTCTTTTTTTTGCGATCATTCTACAGGAAAATATCCATTGACAAGATCAGAAATGTACATGTAGTTATGTACTTTTTGTTTTAAATTTCAAACTTCAAAGATTATAAATTACTGTAGGCTTACTTAAAAATCAATATGATCCTGGAGATGTCAAGGCAATGATTCTAACAAAATTCACAGTAAATAGCAAATTATTGTTTGTCATGTTTCTAGAATAAATAAACAAAACAAGTTATAAAGCGTAAGAAAACTAAAGACTAACTTTTAAGACAGCAGAATTACCACCTGCTGAGCAGACAGTCTACACTGGACTCCCCATGCCACATCTGGCATTACATAACTGAATCAGTAAACATGATATATGAAAATTCTGTAGATCACAATGATAACATGTGAGAATAATGTTTATATGATTGCCTAACCACACCACCACAGATCTTTACAAATTTAATTCCACAGAATGAGAATGTTGAAAATCACGATTTTATGGTGCAGGCACTGGGTAGAAAATAAGGCTTTAAAAAGCAGTACAACTCCTACAATTCTTTGGAAGATGCAATGATATGCCAAGTTTGATACCTTTGATACTGAGAATGTACCTTTGCGTTAATGCAAGAAGGCATGAGTATCAGAGCTGAAGACTGAATGTTTATATCACACACCTCTACCATCTTGAGATCAACTGATCAGGGTCAACTAAATATCAGCCAAGTCTTGGACGGCAACTCTTGACAATTCCTTGTCTTGACCTGTAAATGCAAATCATGCTAAAAATCCGATTTCAACTGCACTATATATCTCATCATCATTTCCTGTCAAATTTTTTATTTCATCTCAGTATATAATGGTATGATTGCACACCTTTGACCAAACCAGTTGTAAATTTAACATTTTTAGATTTTTAAAAATCTATGAAGCTAATTAGATGATGGGTCTGTGATTAATTTGTGTTTTTTATTCTCCAGATATACAAAGGATTGGATATTGTGACAAACAAGGTTACTGCAGCTGAGCAAGCTCAATGTCCACATCATATGATAAGTTACCTCAGTCCTATACAATATGCTCATACAGTTATTGATTTTAGAAATAAAGCTTTACCAATTGTATCCTTTTGATAAATTGCAGTGTTCTTATAAGCTTATGAGATGCTCAACTTTAACTATACTGCTTTGATTAATCCAATTCAAAACATTATTTAGACCTAAATCGAAGATGTTTTACACGTTTAATTCTTCAATACCCAATTCCTGAATTCTTACATTTTTATCTGAAAATATATTTTTTATGGACAGCCTAATAAGCCCACATTAGATAAAACAATGAAGGAATCCATAGGGTGGATACAGTGTATAAAGATATTGGGGTCTGTTTTTCCTTTAATCATACCATTTTAGATTGATAGATTAATTAAAGAAGATAAGATACCTATTATAGTAGGTGGTACTAATTATTATATAGAAGCTCTACTCTGGAACTTTTTAATTAACAAACAGGTAAAATTTATATACACTCTTCAAAAAAAGTAGGGGATATTGAAATGCAAATACTTATGCAGGTTGTTATATGATAAATAGTCATGGACACTGGACATGCTTTGAGAGTATGTTCACAGATGAAGAACTTATCGCCCCAACTGAACCACTGAGCTGCACATGCGACACATAATAGCACCATACACGTGGGAGGGGTTCATTGTCAAATGTGACACTTCAAGGTAGTACCTTTGCTTTAGTGTGTTACGTTTAATTTGATCGGGAGATGTAGTCGTCAACGTCCACCGACAACACTGCAAGAATTGGCCGTGGCATAGCAAGAGGAGTGGATCAGATTGCCCCAAATCGTGATTGGACGGTTGATTAGGATCATGCCACCACGAATTGCTGAATGTCTGAGAATTGGTTGAGCAATTACTCATTATTAAGACAAAAATCAAAAGCGACCATTTTGACAGTGTATCTCTTTGCGAGTGAAATGGGGCTGTCAGATAAGCCGCCCATATGAACTGTTTATGTTCATGTATAGGCAATTGGCCTGGAGTGAGCTGAATCTTTTTTTTTTGTCACCTGCCTTTCGAAGTAAGCAGTAGACTATTAAAATGGGTCTGTCCCTCTGTCTGTCTATCCATCTGTTACACTTTTTGGGGCACAATAACTCTCATTCTAATTGAGCTAAAATGTTCAAACTTGATGTTAGTGAATGCCTTGATGGAGTTCGAAGATGAGCATTTTCTGCTTAGGCTAAGCAGATAAGCAATTTGACTGGTTGATGTTTTTGGGCCACAATAACCTAGGTTCTAATTAATGAGAGTGATGAAACTTGGTGTATAGTTTCATTATATCAATCCCTTGACTAAGTTCGATAATGAGCATTTTCGGCTCAGACTAAGCAGAGTGATAAACAATTTTATTGGTAGAGACTTTGGAGCTCGATAACTTTGATTCTAATTGAGTGAGAGCAGTGAGACTTTGTGTATAGTTTCATTGCATCAGTACCATGACTTGTTCTATGCTGAGCATTTTCTGCTTAGGCTGAGTAGATACTTCAATCTGATTGGTCGAGACTTTGGAACACAATAACTCTTCTTCTAATTGAGGTAGAATCTTTAAACTTTGGTGTAGGTGCTTATTAGGTTAATCTTTTTGACAGTGTTCAATCATGCACATTTTCCACTAATTTGATTGGTTGAGACTTTGGAACATGATAACATTGGTTCTGATTGGGTGAGAGTGATGAAACTCAAATTATAAATTGATTATACCAACATCTTGAATAAGTTTGATGATGAGAATTTTCTGCTTAGTCTAAGTAGCGATAAGCAATTTTATTGGTCTGCTTTTAATTGAGGTAAAATGTTTAAACTTGATGTAGATGTTCATTAGGTGAATGTCTTGACTGAGTTCAATGATTAACATTTTCCACTAAAGCTAAGCAGAGCTAAACAATTTCATTGGTCAATGGTTTGGGACAAGATAACTTTGATTGTAATGATGGAGAGTGATGACCGAGTTCGATCATGAACATTTTCTGCTTAGACTAAGATTAGATAATCAGTTTGATTGCTCTATACTTTTCTAAAAGATAAATGTGCAGTTAATTAGTATGTGTCATCTATATTTTGGGGATATTGGTGGTGGACATTAGCCTCACTGTTGGCTTGTTTTTATAGTAATGTTTCAGAGAAGAGGAAATGTATCAAAATTTTCTGAATTGTGTCTAAAAAAACAATGACATATATACGGTTTAATTGTTCTGGTCAGAAAGGAAACTATTCACACATCCTTGAGGCAGTGGATGTGTTATAAGTGTCTGTTTCCTGTGGTTATATGTACAATACAACACGGAGATTTATCTTATGTCCTGTATCATGATCTGTAGTAATGTGATGCAGATCAGATGATCTAGACACTTTCCAAGCACTACAAAATTTCAAGAACAATCTTTTATCTAGAATTAACATGTCATGTATAGAATTTGATTAGGTATTTAGAATTCTGACAGAAAACGAAGACATAGATTTTTTCGTTATTCATCATCACTGAATCCAAAGCATGTCTACAAGAGTTTTTAAAAATTTAACCTGTGAGGAGCGTAATTGTAAAATATGAATTCCAGCCATTTATATAAAACACTAGCAGCTGACCCAGCGTAGCACTATTATACCCATGAACCGAAGGTAGCATAACTCTGAAACCGTAAGTGATAGGCCATCGCCAACTGGCCTAGCTATGTTACTCCCTGGTCGGAGCTACCACCATACACCACATTTCAGCCCCTGGACAGGCCTAGTGTAGCCACCAACCCCGAAAAGACAGACAAACAAACAAACAAACGACAGTCACAAACATTAGTATAGATGAATTCCAGCCATTCTATAAAACATTGATTTCAGTAATTTCTATAAAATATGAGTTCCAGCCATTTCCATAAAATATGTTTATTTTTTGTCAACTTTCCCTGGTCAAGTATTTTTTTTTAATATTGTCACTTTTTCTAAGTGGACAAATATTAGCATATATGTATATCAGATAATGCATGTGTTGATCTATATTAAAATATTTGTCCACTTTCTGCTGTTATATGTATTGAATACATTTGCAGTTCTATAATAATGAAAAGAAATTTGATGCTTGATGTCTGGGCAAGTTGCTATATTAGTTATGGTTGTGGTCACATATATAGACACCTAGCATCCCATGTATACTATTCAAAAAAAGTAGGGGATATTTGATTTTGGGGGCATAATACTAAAATATGCAAATGACTACGAAAAAAGTCACTATAGAACCTAACAGAAGAAACATTTCCAGTTACATGTGACGCCCAAACGCACCAATAGCTACCGCATGGAATGCAGGTGATGCTTGGGATCATCATGGGGGTCCAACCCAAGATTTGCACGACTCTGACTTTGAATGTTACAGTCATTGTGGCATTGAATTCCAGGGTGGAAACATCAGTTTAATTGTTTTAGTGACCAGAAAACAAATTTTGATATGCGTCAGCTTACCCAAAATGAAAGGTTACGTGCCCTTGGCATGCTACAGATCGGCACAACACAGGCGGTTGTGGCGCGGACGATGAATGTTTCTCAGTCTGTCATAAGCAGGCTATGGTCCAGATACCGTGATACACAATCTGTACAGGACAGACCACGCTCAGGTCGACCAAGGGCGACAACTCAAGCCCAGGATCGATTTATCCGTACCTTGGCCTTGAGAAATCGTGTCATCACAGCAAATCAGATCAGCGCTCGTCTTCAAACAGACACTGGTGTGAGAGTGAGTGGCCAGACGATTCGGAATCGACTGCATAGGGGTCACCTTCGCGCCCGACGTCCTCTCGTGATCCCTTGTTTGAGAGATCATCACATTCAGGCAAGACGTCGTTGGTGTAGGGATCGTCAACACTGGGATAATCGACGCTGGAGCAATGTGATGTTTTCAGATGAGTCAAGGTTCACTGTTGATTTTTTGGACAGAGGTAGGAGGGTGTGGCGTCGTCGAAACGAGCGCTTCCAAGACGTTAACGTCATCAGACATGATCGATTTGGGGGTGGTTCTGTTATGGTGTGGGGAGGCATCACTGTTGCTGGAAGAACGGCTTTACATGTTGTTGCAGGGCGTGTTACAGGCCAGTACTACTGGGACAACATCTTGGCAGTCCATGTTGTGCCGTTCGAACGACGTCATGGCCGCCGTTTCATCTTCCAGGATGACAACGCAAGATGTCACAGGGCCAGGATCGTTACAGGTTACCTCCAACAACAGAACATCACCACATTACCTTGGCCAGCACTGAGTCCCGACCTCTCCCCCATCGAGCATGTCTGGGACATGCTTGGACAGAGGTTACGTCAACGTCAACAACGTCCTGCCAATGTCCAAGAACTTGCTGCTGCGTTGCAACAGGAATGGGACAATCTGGACCAAAATGACCTTAGACGTCTCATTAGGAGTATGCCACGTCGGATCAATGCTTGTTTGGCAAACAGAGGAGGATTTACCCGTTACTGACTTGGTTGTGATGCTGTGGTAACTTTGCTGTTTGACCCCGGGTATCATTTTACCCTTATAATGGTCAGTTTGTGCCTTACTTAGTCTAACGATCATTTGGAATAAATCGATGAATGTGAACTTCATTTCATTTTGTCCTTTGTTTCTTTGTCAGTTTCATTAGGTGACTTTAATAACACTTAAAAATCAAATATCCCCTACTTTTTTTGAATAGTATATATATTAATTACAATAATTATTTTATAAAGTTGCTATTGTATATTAGTTGATGTGATAATAATGTTTGTTCAGGAATCTTTCCTCTGCAAAGTGATGTTGAGATGTTCAACAGTAATTTTTGTGTTATAAAATCTGTTTTCTGTTGCTTATCAATACAGAACGGTAATTGTCTATCTTTTGCCTGCCTAATCTTAAATCTTATGCTAATTTATTGTCAATAATATCCCCCTTTAAATAGAAGGTTATTAAAATATTTGAGGTCTTATATGCCAGTCATATGTTAAGTTGTATGTGGGAGTTTGTAATAAATTACGGTCTGCAAACTGCAAATCATTTCTAAAATAAGCGATGACCATTAACCAATTTGTATTTTATAAACTTCCTTATTACTGTCACAACAGATTTGTAGGATGTTTCCTGGTTCTGCTTTCAGCCCACTTAATAGTGAACTGTGACCCGACTTCACATCACTTACACCATACTTTGTCTATGGCTTAATACTATGTCTGTTCTGCTTGTGTGTGAAAGTATTTGGCAATTTGATATCCTTGATAGAAACAGACAGTTTTCAAGAATACTGACACAAAAGAGTTCAAATTAAAAATAACATATATTCTTTCAATTAAATATGTATTTTTATTTAACTTGCACAAATTGTTTTACATGAAATGTTCAAATTATAGCCATTTGACATTGTAGCAAATTAAATGAAGTTGTACTTGAAATATTCAAATTGTAGCTATTTGCAAATATAGCAAATT